AGATCTCTGTGCTGGGTGTGGTGGCGTGCGCCTTTAATCCCACCACTCGGGAGGCAGAGGCAGGTGTATCTCTGAGTTCAAGACCAGCCTGGTGTATATAGTTCCAGGACAGCTGGGGCTATAGGGAGACCCTGTCTCAAAAAGACCAAAAAATAAAAACAAAAAACCCTCCATTTCATTTTAGAATATATTGTTCCTTGCAGAAAGACTCATTGTTTTTGATACTAACACTGAGATGTTGGCGCTTGCATCTCTAATCTGTATGTATCTGATTATTACTAGTCATAATCGGTAGTACTCTGATCCTTGGCACCTGTATATGTCTATTAGGTCATCGGGTAGATTTCAATGGTAATGTTTATCATATCAACTAATTAGCATGATGAAAATTTCCATGCTTCCTCCTCAAATATAATACATTTTAAAAAATTTGTTGATTTTTGTGTGTGTGTCTGTATATCACACAGAACATCCCAAACCATCTCATTTGACTACACACCCACTTCCCAGATGGCACCCTCTCATAGCCTACCCCCCACCCCAGAGCCCTTATACTCTGATATCCCTGCTACTGTCTGCTGTTGTCGGCTCCCCCAGCCCTTCCCCACTACTTACCCTTCTGGTGAATCTAGCCAGCCTATCTAGAAGTTCTACTGTTTTAAGCCACAGTGTGATATAATTTGCTACAACAGCAACAGAAACCCAATGCAAACAATTATAAAAAATAATTGCAGCACTCTCTTGGTGCCAAATGGGTGGTGAGTCACATACCAATGCACTCCCCACGGAGATCCAGCTGGAATCCCTTGTTGCACTCACACCGGTAGCTGCCAGGAGTCGGAATGCAGCGCCCATTTTGACAGAGATAGCGAACCAACTGACAGTAGTCAGTGACATTGAAAGGTAGCACCCCTAGAAGAACAGCAAGGAACTCCATTAAAAGCATTCGTTAGTACTTTAACCTGGTGATAATGGACAAGCTGCTGGTTCATAAGGGAAGGGGACACTCTGAGCGAGGGCCTAATCTAACGGTGGTTCCATCCTGCCCTCTGCCAGCACAGCCGCACCTCGGCCACGCCGCAGCTGCTCCTCTGCTTGCCTCTGCCCGCCCTACTCACCTCAGGCTCAAGCCCCCAGTGTGGGGGAATAACCAAGGTGGTGAGTTGTTGATAAATAACTGCTTGCAAAACTGCTTCGCACACTAAATAACCCAAAGTATAACTTTATATATTCTGTATTATAAATTCATTCTGTGAATCAGATTTTAGTCATTCCCATAACCCTCCCAAATTCAGCTGAAAATATCAATAACAAAAAAGACATTAATCTCTGGAAAATAGAAGGCTTCCATTTTTAGCTATAAAATAAGAAAATTAAGAAATATGTGAAGCTACATAAAAACTTAATCTAACAATTGCTAAACATATTTAATAACTAAAGTGGCATGAGAAATAATACACACACACACACACACACACACGCACGCACATCCTAACTAATGCAACTAAAATAAGTAGGTGACTTCTGAACTCTTACGTGGTGGCTCCCGCGATGGAGATGGATACGGATATTCTGGGGGTGGCCGAGGGAGTGGAACTGCAGGGCCAGGAGGAAAGCCAGGAAGCACAGATTGAACTGGAGGAATGGGGCCAACGGGTGGAGGAGGATATTCTGGCCTCCCAGGAATTACCATAGGGACAGAGCACAGCTTGTTGAAATCCTCTGGAAAACACAACACAACACAAACGATCAGCAGTGCCACGCTGCTGTGATAGGCCTAGAGAGGACACCCTTTTAAAGAAACCAAAGCACATTAGTCATTTGGAATTAAGGGAAAAGCACTCTAAATTACTTCATTCACATTTTTAATGCCTACAATAACTTCCATTGAGACTATAATTCAAAATCAGAAACTCTCTAGACTAGGTACAACATGTTCCTCCAAAAATCTAGGATGTCTTTACAACGTTGAAATTCACCAGGGAAAATGTAAGGTGTCGCTTTCTCCAGTAGGTCCCAGTGTGGATTCCACAGACTCTAACGAGAACACCAGGCTTGAGCTCTAATCAGGGCAAAGCATAATGACACAGATGTATGAAAATGCTGTCTTGAAATCCATTACTTTGTATGCTAACTTTAAAAGTTAATTAATGGAGCTGGAATGATGGCTCAGCAATAATGAGCACTGGCTGCTCTTGCAGAGGATGTGAGTTTGGTTCTCAGCACCTACATGGCAGCTAACAACCATCCATAACTCCAGTTCCAGGGGATCTAATGCCCTCTTCTAGCATCCGCAGACAATGCATGGCACAGGTGCACTTACATACATACAGGCAATACATGCAAAAATAATAAATAAAATACTTTTTAAAAATTTAAAGTTAAAAATTAAGGAATATGGCATTGAAAAACTAATGATTTAAAAGTTTACAGACACACAAAATAAATAAATTAATGTCTAATATATAGAGAGAGTGCCAGTGAGATGGCAAATCTTGTAAAGATACTTGCCATCAAGCCCTGACAATCTGAGCTCGACTCCTGGATCCCATATTGTGGAAAGAGAGAACCAACTCCCACAAATTGTTCTCTGACCTCCACCTGTGCTCCATGGCATATGCACCATCCATAAAATTAATAAATGTGGATAGAGATATAGAAATTCCATTATTAAAATATATCAATAAAACAGAGAAATTCTTTGGAAAAGTTGTAAAAATTAAAAAGAAAAATAAGTTTGATAAGCTGGGTGTGGTGGCATACTCCCACTACCCCAACACTTGGGAGGTACAGACAGGTGAATCAGAAGTTCAAGAGCATCCTTGGTTACACAGTGAGGTTATGGCCAGCCTGGGCTACATAACACCCTGTCTCAAAAGTTTTTTTTCTATTAATTTCTATTTAATGTGTATGAATGTTTTGCCTGCATGTATATAAGAGCACAGATGTTGCAGTGCTCCCAGGGGCCGAGAGGGCAATGAGTCCCCTGGAACTGGAGTTATTGACGGTTGTCAGTTGCTCTGTGGGTGCTGGAAACCGAACCAAGATACTCTCTGCAAGAACAACCAGTGCTCTTAACCACGGAGCCATCTCTCAGGCCCCCAAAAGTCTCAGCCTTTCTCTCTTTTGGTTTGAAACTGGATCTCCCTGTAGTCCCAGCTGGCCTAGAACTTATGAAGTACACCAGGCTGGCCTCTATCTCAGATATCTACCTGTCTCTGCCTCCCGAGTATTGGGATTAAAGTCATGCAACACCACACCCACCCTCAAAAGTTTCTTTAAAAATCTTGGGTTTTACTTTATATGCAAAGGTTTGTGTTTTGGGTTGTCCAGATAGGCAGATGCTGGTGCCTTTTACTGAGAGAAGAAATCTATCTAGGGATAGATGTGATGGACAGAAGTCAAATTATACTTCAAACATATGAGATATGAAATGTCAGATAGCCAAAAGGGGATATCACACAACAGCTGTGGAGGACAGTGAAGCCTAGAGAAGAAATCAGCCCTAGTTTGGACACTTGGAGTAGGGAGGTGGAACAGCTCATCTAATAAATGTGGAAGGTAGAACTAGGTGTTAGTGTAGTGGTAGAGTGCTTGCAAAACGTGCAAGAGGCCCTTGGCTGGATCATGTACTGCCATAAACATAAAAAGAACAGAAATGTGAAGTAAAGAGGCAAAGGCATGGAGACAAAGCCTTGAAGACTACTTACTTGTAAGACAACTAAGAGATTGGAGAAGTGATCTACGGGAAAGAAGGAATCCCAAGGGTTAGTGGGGCTGCTGTGAATGCTGTATGGTTGTCCTCTGAGCTGGCACACCCCGACTCAATTATTTATTTCCTGTGTTTGCATATTTGAGGGTTGCGTGATATTTTTAGCAGTACTAAGTCTTAATCAGAATAAATCTTCCTTAGGGCTATGACACTTTTTTTCTGGGTTTCCACCATGCTATTTTTAAACAGCATCCAGTTTTAAGGGATATATTTATTTTATTCATTTGTAGCTTTCCTACACACGGCCATAGGTTGTCAAGAGTTCTTCTATAGGCAAACTAACTGTGTGATTTTTTCATTTTTCTTTCTTGCTAGAATGGTCATATTTTTATTACCACAGTGACCAAGTGATTCTCACGTAGCAACTTTCTATACGACTGTCAGCCACTAATATCAATTACACTATGACTAAGATTCTAACGTATAGTACTATGTCCCACGGAAATGCATTTGTAACTCAGCCTCACCGGCCATTCTGCCAATTTGCATCTGGTTAAATATGCCTACCTCTGAAAGGGGAAACATTACAACAGACACCAGAAAGATACAGAACATTATAAGGGAATACTTTAAAAACCTATATGCTACCAAATTTGAAAACCTAAAAGAAATGGATGGATATCTAAAGGCATGGGAACCACCAAAA